GTGTGGGTGGACTACCCCAACATCGTCCGGGTCGTGCCGGTGGGGGGCCACATCTACATCGACGACGGGCTCATCTCCCTAGTGGTGCAGAAGATCGGTGCGGACGCGCCTCCCGCCCTGACCGCGGCCTTCCGTCTGCGTGTCTCCTCCGCCCTCCCCGGCCGCCCCTCCCCTGGCCGCGCGCCCTCCCCCACCCGTCCCGGGCAGACTCCCGCGCTCACCCCGGCTGGGGCAGGACTTGCGGGTTAGCCTCGGTCTGGTGGTGGTTCGCTGCGGGGCCCAGAGCCAAGGGCAGACGGGCGGCTAGGACGTGGCTCCTGCTCTCTCGGGGGTCCAAGCCCCATGCTCCTTCTGCTGGGATCCTGCCCGGTCTCACCCCTGAGCAGCTGGCCCTTCCCACGCCCGCAGATCCAGAGGGACTGGTGACCCAAGTGGAGAACGGCGGCGTCCTCGGCAGCCGGAAGGGCGTGAACTTGCCAGGGGCCCAGGTGGACCTGCCCGGGCTGTCCGAGCAAGACGAGCGGGACCTGCGTTTCGGGGTGGAGAACGGAGTGGACATCGTCTTTGCCTCCTTCGTGCGGAAAGCCAGCGATGTGGTTGCCGTCCGGGCTGCTCTGGGGCCCGAGGGACAGGGCATCAAGGTCATCAGCAAAATCGAGAACCACGAAGGCGTGAAGAAGTGAGGCTCGGTCTTTGGTCCCGTCAGGCCCCAGAACCATTTCCCATTGCCCCTCTTCTCCTGCCTTCCTCTCCCTGGCATCTCCTGGGTCTGCCCCAGCCCTGATCCTCCCAACCCCCAGGTTCGATGAAATCCTGGAGGTGAGCGATGGCATCATGGTGGCACGGGGAGACCTGGGCATCGAGATACCCGCAGAGAAGGTTTTCCTGGCTCAGAAGATGATGATTGGCCGCTGCAACTTGGCCGGCAAGCCTGTTGTCTGTGCCACACAGGTCTGGAGTGAGCCCCAGGGGCTGGGTGCTGTGTGAGTCAGTACCCACACCTTAGGTCTGTAGCACATTTTGCTGTCCAGTGTTTGCTCATCAAACAACAAAGCCAGGTAGACTACTGTGACTCCTGTTTTCAGATGAAGACACTGAACTGCCAGGATCCACAGCTTGTGACTATGACCCTAGTTTTCGGGCATGCTGAAAAATGAATATCAGAGAAGTAGCTAGGGCAGGGTCCCCAATCAGAGTGTGACTCCTACAGTACCGATGTCCATGGTGTCTCTTAGATGCTGGAGAGCATGGTCACCAAGCCCCGGCCAACAAGGGCAGAGACAAGTGATGTGGCCAATGCTGTGCTGGACGGGGCAGACTGCATCATGCTGTCAGGGGAGACCGCCAAGGGCAACTTCCCCGTGGAAGCTGTAAAGATGCAGCATGCGGTAGGAGTTCAGAATGAAAGGCAGATGGGTCAGGGAACCACGCCCCTTCCGGACCCCATGGCCATGCCTAGTCTGACATCCTGACGCCTGCAGATTGCCAGGGAGGCAGAGGCCGCAGTATACCACCGGCAGCTGTTTGAGGAGCTACGTCGGGCAGCGCCATTGAGCCGTGATCCCACAGAGGTCACTGCCATAGGCGCTGTGGAGGCTGCCTTCAAGTGCTGTGCTGCTGCCATCATCGTGTTGACCACAACTGGCCGGTGAGGGGGTGACTGGAAATGCACAGACTGCGTTTTGCATCAGGGGTGGACTGGGATAGGCCACAGGCCTGGGTTTAGTCTGGTCACCAGAAATGAATGTCGCTCTGGTACAAGAGGAGAGGTAGCTGTGAGAGCTGGCGGCCAGGAGAGGCAAATTGTGCCAGTGAGCTCCAGGGACCTGAAAGTGGACAATGGTATCCCTGGGCACATTGGCTTCAAAGCCAGTTGGGATCCTAGGTCTCAGAGGCAAGACCACTCAGCCCCCAAAGCCTTACTATGCGGAGGTATTGCAGAAGGGCCCAACAGGTCTGAGTTCGAGTCTTTGCTCTGACCCTTAGCTACCTCTGTCTTCTCATGTTTATGGCAAGTTAGTCATTTGTTCCACATGGGGTTGTAAGGATTAACAGGAGACATTAAGTACTATATGTAAATTAAGCACTATATAAATATGCATTCTCAAAAGAGTTTTATGTTTCTTTTTCTTTTTCTTTTTTTTGAGTCAGAGTCTCACACTGTCGCCTAAACTGGAGTGCTGTGACATGATCATGGCTACTGCAGCCTTGACCTGCTTGGCTCAGGCGATCCTTCCACCTCAGCTTTCCAAGTAGGCAGAATTACAGGTGCACCACAGTGCCTGGCTAATTTTTAAATTTTTATTGTAGAGATGAGGTTTCACCAAGTTGCCCGGGCTGGTCTCAAACCCCTGGGTTCAGGGCAATCCTCTCACCTCTGCCTCCCAAAGTACTGGGATTACAGGCATGAGCAACTGCAGCCAGCAGTTTGTTTCTTTCTTTTTTTTTTTTTTGAGTTGGAGTCACTCCATCGCCCAGACTGGAGTGCAGTGGCCACTCCCAGCCACCGCAGCCTCGACCTGCTGGGCTCCGGCGATCCTTCCGACTCAGTCTTCCAAGTAGCTGAAACTACAGGCACGTGGTACCACACCTGGCTGATTTTTTGATTTATTGTAGAGATGAGGTCTCGCCAAGTTTCCCAGGCGGGTCTCGAACCCACCGGCTCAGGCAATCCACTCACCTCAGCCTCCAAAAGCGCTGGGATTACAGGCTGAGCCACCAAGCCCGGCTAACAGCAGTTTGTTTCTTAAGGAGGTTTCTCATTATTATCTCATTTAATATATCCTTATTATCTCACATCTTCCTTGTGTGGTAGGAAGGGCAGGCATTCTTATACTCATTTTACAGATGAGAATAACCAAGGCCCAGAGACTTACCCATGGTCACACAGCTCACTGGAACCAGAACCCAAACTCTTGTTTCCTGGTTCACTACCCTTTCACTGTTCTGAGCTAACTTTCTCTGCCTCCTCCAGCTCAGCCCAGCTTCTATCTCGGTACCGACCTCGGGCTGCAGTCATTGCTGTCACCCGTTCTGCCCAGGCTGCCCGCCAGGCCCACCTATGCCGAGGAGTCTTCCCCTTGCTCTACCGTGAACCTCCAGAGGCTATCTGGGCAGACGATGTGGATCGCCGGGTGCAATTTGGCATTGAAAGTGGTAAGCAGGTGGGAGGGGCACACCTCATCAACAAGGGTAACTGCATGATCAAAATGTGTAGACCTAACCCTGAATTGTACCTTGTATCTTTATAATAAGAATAAAAAATAAATAAAATAAAATAAAGTGGTAAGCTGGTCAGGTGCAGTGGCTCAGGCTGTAATCCCAGCACTTTGAGAGGCTGAGGCGAGAGGATTGCCTGAGCCCAGGGTTTCAAGACCAGTCTGGGCAACTTGGTGAGACCTTGTCTCTACAATAAATCAAAAAATAAGCCAGGCATGGTAGCACATGCCTGTAGTTCCAGCTACTTGGAAGACTGAGTCAGAAGAATCACCTGAGCCCAGCAAGTCGAGGCTGTGACCTATGAACATGTCACTGCACTCCAGCCTGGGCAACAAAGTGAGACTCCGACTCAAAAAAAAAAAAAACGAAAGTGGTAAGCTAAGACCTGGTGCAATGGCTCATACCTATAATCCTAGCATTTTGGGAGGCTGAGGTGAGAGGAATACCTGAGCCCACAGGTTTGAGGCCAGCCTGGGCAACTTGGCGAGATCTCTACAATAAATCAAAAAAATTAGCTACTTGGAAGTCTGAGGTAGAAGGATCTCCTGAGCCCATAAAGTCGAGGCTGCAGTGGCTGTGAGCGTGCCACTGCACTCCAGCCTGGGCAACAGAGACTCTGACACACACATACACACACACATCAAAAAAAGTGGTAAGCTACCCAGACCTTCCTCCTGATCCACCTCTGCCATTTGGAGCAGGAGTTCCCCAACCTAGCTCCTCCCACACTTGAAAGACCCTGCCTCTCTCCTCTGGTCCCAGATTTTCCCTGGGAGATTCATTAAAACTGAGAGGTATCAGTCTGGCGTGTGATCATGCCCTACTTCTTCCTGTCAGCATAGCCACATGGGTGGACAGCCTCGCTACTTAGCAACACACTCTATCCCAGCCCACCAACACACCTGCAGTTAAGTATGCTGCAGTGGTCGCATTCCCTGTGGTGCTACCTGCGGGAAGCAGTTTGCTGCAGGTGCCTCCTTTCCTGCAGGGTAGACTTGAGGTGGTGGAGGGTAGCGGCTGGTTCTTATTACAAGGCTGGCCTGGTCCCTCAATGAGTATCCTTTCTCTCCCCCAGGAAAGCTCCGTGGCTTCCTCCGTGTTGGGGACCTGGTGATTGTGGTGACAGGCTGGCGACCTGGCTCTGGCTATACCAACATCATGCGGGTGCTGAGCGTATCCTGAGATGTACCCCCCAACACAGCCTGTCTCTGCACCCCTTCCTTCCCTCCCCACTCTACTTCCTCCACCCTCCAAGGTCCCAGCTCTGAGTCCTCTCTTCTTTCCTCCCAACCCTCCCTATCTGAGACCACATCTGCCACCTAGCCCCATTCCAGGGTGCTCCTATCCCCTCTGTTTCACACAGGCCCTGAAAGTCTGTGTTTAATTACACAGTGACCACCTGACAGCACCGATTGTACATTCCCTGCATCCAATCCTCTCAGCCAGCTCTAAGATGCCCTGAGCCTTTAATCCCAGTTTGACTGGTTAATTCCATAACCCTGGGGGTGGGAGAGAGGGGGGACAAGGCAATCTTGTCCACAGTCTCCACAGAATTATTATTTTAAAAATACATTATATCCATGCAGTCTGACATTCTCATATGTGGTCCTTATAATAACCTGGGTGTCTCCTGCTAAGACAGGCGACTCCTTCATGATGACTTACATTGGCATCACAGCACCATGCTTTGGGGGAAACTGGGGTAGATGGACGCTGGGGAGGAGTGAGGCTGAGCATACTTTTGTCACTGTCTTCACAGTCTCCATGCTGGGCACACAGACTGTTTGTTCTCCAGGCTGTCCTCATGCCTTGCTGGGTCAAATGCCCTGATGCCCCCTCCTGCCCCAGAAATTCCTTCATACCCACTTTGTTCCCACACACAAACCAGGAGCCAAAATGAGTGTCTCTATTTTCTTTTTAAACCCAGCTGTTTGGAAGCAATTATAAAACTTCTCCCACACACCAAGAGCCCCAGAACTCCTCCCCCGGCAGGAAAGGAGACTTGAGGTCCTGGCCCCACTTTCTTCAGTGCTGTAGAGTTGGAGCTGGGACAGAGTGGGTGTGGTGAAGGATGTCTCTTGTCCCTGAGAAGGCAGAGGTGCTGGCTGGCCTGCCCTTTCCCAGGCTTGGAAACCTCGGGCCTTCCCCTTCCACCCACACCAACAGCAAACTCAAAAGAAAAAACCCTAAAGGTAAAAGCAGCGTTCCTCCCTTCTCAGTGGCCCCTCCTGCCCCTACCTAATGGGGTAAGGGTTCAAGTATTGCTGCTGATGGATTTGGGCAAGGACCACAGGGGCTAGCACGGAGGGGCCCTGCCTCCTCCTGCTTCTCCTATCTCCCTACCAGGAAGGGAGGGATGATGAAAGTAATGGGTGAACGAATGAACTGATAGCAAACAAATTAGCAAATGATAAATAAATACAATTAATAAATTACTGAATGAATAAATACAAGGAAAGAAAAATGTGTCACATAAGGATTCAGCCATTTGCCCCTCCCCCAGCTGGGGTGGAGAATCTAGGCTGGCACACTAAGTAAGGAGGTGCCATCTATCCCTTAACTTTAAGGAGGTACCACTGGGGTAGGGGGCACAGGAAAGAGGCAGCTCTCCATTTATAAAAAGACAGTTCTACCACAAGACAGAGACTGCAGGGAACTTGGCAGAAGTGTTACCACTTGGAGGGTATAGACAGGATGGCAGTGACAAGGTAAAGGTGGATGCCCACACTCAGGACCTAGGACATTTGTTGGCAGCAATGGGGGCACAGGTGATTGACAGTGCCTGGCTACACTAGGGGGACAGGAAGATACCCACGCTGGGCAGAACTTGTAGGATCATTGGCAGGGAAACAGAGATGGCTAGTTACTTGGCAGTGATGGCAGTGGCAAGTACTTGTGCTTAGTAAAGGTGGGGTCATGGGCCCGGGCCTGCACCTGGCAGGACCATGGCCAGGGGAATACCCTCATCAGAGGGCACTGAGTCACTTCTACTTGGCAGTGGAGACAGCACTGGTTTGGTATCTTGAACATGGTAGGCGCTCAGTATGTACGATGGATGGGTGAATGGATTAGGTTGTTAGGCTACAGGGTGCTTGAACTGAGGACACAGAGATCATCTTCGTGGCAGTAAAGGGAAACATTCCCAAAGGGCAATGTTTCAGGTCCCCATGGTCTTCCCCAAGAGGCATATGCCCTCAGGTACACACTACTGCACCCCAAGAACTAAGGCTGGGTGTATCCAAGGATTCACATGTTGGCAGACAGCTGGGGGCCTCGGGGGGTGGCTGGCTCAGGCACTGGTGGCCTGGGGGGTTGTGCTGTCCCTGGAGGCTTGACCAGGAGCCCTGAGGGGGGCAGGCGCTCACTTCCTGAGCCCTTACGCCTAGGAGAGCCTTCGCCTGTTGCCCGCTGTGGCAGAGAGGGTTGGGAGGCTGACAGTGGGCGGCCCCGAGGTCCTAACCGCCGTCCACCTCCTCCTCCTCCTGGAGGGGGGCCCAGCAGGGATACCTGGGAGCGCCCGGCCCGGGACAGGCTGGCGTGAAGGGTTCGGGCGGGGGGGGCAGGCAGGCGGGAGGTGGATGCCCATGGCCCCCGGGCCAGCAGAGGGCCGGCTCGAACTGGCACCAGTGGGGAGGCTGGGGAGCCTGTTGAGCGTCGAGCGGAGCGAGCAAGGAGGGTGGCTGGAGAGTCGGGAGAGAGGGGCAGAGGGCCACGCTGGTGAGTCAGGGCAATGGCCACATTGGAGGTCACGGCCGCTGTCTGCAGGGGCGCATGTACCAGTGGCTCCCACAGTACTGGCTTTCCACTTAGCCGAGCTCCTGTGCCCGGGGCCAGGCCCCGAACACCTCGAGCCATGTCCCTGTCATGTTGTACCAGGTGCTGTTCCATGATGCCACCACTGCTGCCCGGACTTGGCTCCGAGCGCTTCCGCTGCAGTATGGAATTCTTCTTGCCTAGAAGTCATCCCAAGAGGGAGAAGGTAGGGATAGGGAAGGAATCCAAGATGAAAGTTGGTTATCAAAGAGAGTGAGGGTACAGGGATGGGGTCAAGAGGTGGGGATGGGGTTGAGGACAGGGCATGGGAGTCAGGAATATAGAGTTGGGGCTATGGGGACTAGGGATTGGGAGATGGGGTTGGAGGAAGTGAGTTTGTATCAGAGGGACTGGTACTCAGGGGAGGAGGACTCAGGACATGGGGACTTGGAGAGACATCTCCTGGGAGGACAGGCTGAAGGGATAAGGACAGTAAGTCACAGTGTTGAAAGACCTGATGGGGCCATTTTTGGGGAATGATGGGGTCATTTGTTGGGACTGGATGTGAAACTAAACACTAGAGCCTGGGCTCTTTGCTGTAGGGATGGGGTGAGGTCACAGCCTGGACCCAGAAGAGATAGGGTGGACAGGCCTCACCAATGCGGCGCAGTCGATCCATGGCCACAGTCTCAAAGGCCCGGCGCATCATGGGAAACTCCTCGAGCACAGCATTGAAATGGTCCACACTTAGTGAGTAGAGGCGGCAGTAGGTGTCAGCCCGCACACTGGCCGTGCGCCGGCCCCGTGTCAGCAGGCAGATCTCTGCAGAGTGGGGAGGAAGCTTCAGAGCCCCTGTCCACAGCACTCTCTCACTGGGCCTGCAGCAGCTGACCCAGCTTCCTCAGGCCCCTCCCCAGACTACTGATTACCCCCTGCCTCAGGTCCTCTAAATGCCACGAGCATTGTCTCTGCCCAGACCCACACTATTCCTAGATTACTGTTCCCTGTCCTTCTCACTTTCTCCAAACTAAAGCTGACAAACAGGCAGGTCTTGTTGGCCCCCAGACTCCCAGTTATTCTATTCCACTTTAAGTCCCACCTCACTGCTCTGTCCCGAATAGACCTAGGGCAGCTCACTCTGCATACCCTCCCCTCCCAGTCCCTCGGATGAACACCAAGGGCAACCCTAAAGGAGAAAAGCAATGTCAAAAGGCAAAGTGCAAGGTGATGGGGATACTGGAGGGTGGTGGGTGGTTTGGAGACCGAGAGACTATATGAGCCTTCATTCACTTTGGGCAGTGACTGGCAGAGGTTGGGTCCCCAAATCACACCACTAGGCAGTTCCACACAGCTCATGCCCCTGGGACAGCCCTACTTTACTCCTTCTTTCCCTATCTCAAAAGTCTTTGGATTTCACTGATTAAGGTCTCTAAAAGGCTTCTAGGCCCAGTGGTTGGCAACCAGGCTGTGCCTTGGGCTCTCTGGAGCAACTTTTTAAAAAATACAGAGCTCCAGGCTCCATGTCCAGAGATTCTCACTGAGTAGGCCTGGGGAGGGCTGGAACTCTGTAATTCTGCAGCACAGCCAGGCGGGGACCCAAATCCAGGGGAGCAGTTGCCCTTTCTGACCTCTGATTGTGACCCCCCACACACCCTCCCTGAGGCCCACTGACCCCCAAAGTAGGATCCATCGGTGAGGCGGGTGTCCCGGGCACCGCGCGCCAGCACACTGAGCAGCCCATGTTGGATGAAGTACATCTTCCTGCCCACGGAGCCCTCACGCACCACAAGGTCCCCCGGCTGGAAGACCTCAAAGCGCAGCTTGGTGAGCACCGCAGTGACGAAGCTGGGGTCAGCATGGGCGAACAGCGGCATGTGGGCCACTAGGCCTCGACAGGTGAAGTTAATGATCTCCTGGATGGGGGAGGGGCTGGTCAGGCGGGCTGTGCCCCTGCCCTGAGATGCTCCCACTGAGCTCATCTGTCTCCAGAAACCCGTCCCCTGGGATCATATTCTGACAAAGGATGGGGTTTCATCAGTGGGACCGGGACTATCCCTAAGCTCCTTCAGATCATTCTTATGAGCCCTTGTGGGACAATACCCCAAAACAGAGATCCCTACAGTCCCTCCTCATTTATACTTCCCCCCACAAGGCTTTCAAGAAAGACCCTAGTCCCTGAAAGTCCCCCACATACCTGGCCTCACTCTCTACAGGAACACCTGCTGACCAACAGCCTCCATCCCCAGACGGCACCCTTGGAAGCCCAGGCCCTTGAAGAGCCCCCCTTCAGGGCCCACCCCAGTCCCACCTCCCGAAGTGGTTCGCTCAGTTCGCCCAGAATGCTTTCCTCGTCGAACATCTTGCCCTGGTAGCGGTGCTCATAGTACTCATGGATGCGCTGCCGCGTGTCAGCTGGCAGTTTGTGGAAGGACATGTACTGCTCCACCTGCTTGTACTGGAGGCCGACCCAGGGCCAGCGGGCAAGAGGACACAGAGAGAGATTTAGGGCCAGAACAATGGTCACAGGTCACAGACACAGGTCAAACCCAGAGGGAGGAAACACGGAACGAGACAAGGATGCACAGGGCCACAGAGGATGTAAGGGTAATGGTGGATACAGGGGAGACGCATAGCACAGTTAGGGGAAAACACAGACATGGACAGAGGAGGGGCCAAGCACGGGTACATAGGAACACAAGGAAAAGGCACACAGGGCATGGGACAAATGAACATAGAATAGGAAAGGACACAGAGACCCAACAGAGGCACACATCAAAATGGGCCTCAAGGCAAACTACACAGTGTCCAGCACCCCTCCATGCCCACCCTTCCCTCTCCTGTCCCTGCTGACCTTCTCCTGGTACTGGCGCCGGGAAGAATCCAGGGACTGGATGAGGGCAGTGGCATGGCCGATGAACATGGCATAGCATGTGGCACCCACGATCATGCTGAGCATAGTGAGCCAGACGTCGGGCATGCCTATGGGGGCCTGCTGCCCGTAGCCAATGCACAGCATGTGGCTCATGGCCTTGAACAGCGCATGAGAATACTGGCGGTCCCACGAGTGGTTCTGGGGGGCAGAGGGTATTGCAGAGCTGGGCGTGGGCCCCTCAAGCCTCAATCTCCTGCCCCTTTTCTTTCTCTCTCTCTCTTTCAGTCCCTCTATCTGCCTCCTTCTACTCAGACCTTCCTCCTAGCAGGCACACATAAGTTTGATTCTGGGGGTCCTGAGGCAAACGGGTCCTCTCTTATAGCTTGGGGGCCTCAGCTTCTGCCTAGGTCCCCTTCCCTGCCTGCTCCCTCCAACACACAAACACTTCTTCTGGGTCTCTCTCCCCTCCCTCTCCTCCCTCCTCCCCACCTCCTCACCCCTGTTTTCTCTCTTGATCCTCCCTGTGGTCATCCCTGCCACTCAGGCAGAAGAGCCCTTAGAAGGCCCAGGAGAGGCAGAGCTGTGGGGACTTCTCACCACCATGTGGTTGATGGAGACCCAGCAGTCGGAAGGGAAGTCCTGCAACATGGGGACCAGGAACTGCAGACAGCCGTCCCAGTGACATAGCAGCAGCATCATCCCAATGAGGTTGAAGATGCGAACCACAGCACTGGCCAGGTCATAGGTCATGTGAAAGATCTGAGGAGTCCGAGGAGGAGCTGCTGTGGACAGGAACCCCTCCCTGCTGGTCTTCCTCCACACCCAGCCTTGCAAATTCTCTCTGAATTTCTCCCTAGCCCCAGCCCCCATGAATGTAAAACTACGGCTATCATTCATTTGTGTAGAGTTCTACAGCACACACGTATAGCTAATACAAAGTAGGTTGTGTTATTATTCTTATAGCTAGAGAAACTGAAGCTAATCATGTGCTTAGAACCACACAGTAAGTGTCACAGAGACAAACAAGTCTACTACACAAGCTGCTCAGGTGCAGCCTGGAAAAGGGGAAAGAGCGCATTTCATAGTGTAATGTCCCCAAGGCATTGGCATAGGATTCATGACAGCAACCCTCTTCCCCTCCAAAAATAGTAACGATAAGGGCTAATTTACTGAGAACTTACTACATGGTAAGTTCTACATGTGCTACATGTGCCAGACACCTTTCTAAGTGCTTTACATGTTTTAACTTAATCCTTACAACCTTATCATAGGCAGGTGCATTTAACATTCTCTTCTGCAGACACAGAAACCAAGTCTCATGTAGTAAAATAATGAAACTGGGATCTGACCACAGGCAATGAGATTACAGAGCCTACAACCTGAAGCACTCAACTCTGCTGCCCTGAAGCTGAAGCCCAGCCTCTTCTGCACCCATCTTCCACTCAGCGGCCGACTAACTCTAAAGTGTTGTCCGGCAGCTGAGCTCCACCCTCTGGCACTGCCACCCCAGGCCCCATTCCCAGAACCCTCCTTCTGTCCCCGCGTCTCCTCGCCCACTTTGGAGAGCGCTCTCCCACGGAAGCCCCGTCCACCTGCCCCACCCCCAGCACCGTCCCTGCGGAGTCTGCGAGCCCCCCTGCCCACCCCCCCGCCCCACCTCCTCCCACTGGTGTATGTAGCGGATGAGGCGGGAGAGGCGGAGCAGCCGCAGCAGGCTGAGGATCTTGGTGAAGCGGACGATGCGCAGGGCCCGCGCTGTTTTGTAGACCTCAGCATCCAGCCGTGGCTCCAGCTCCACCACCAGGAAGATGTAATCCACCGGGATAGAGGAGATGAGGTCCACCAGGAACCAGGTGCGCAGGTAGCGCGTGCGGATCGCCCGCGGTGCCAGCAGGATCTCCGCACCCTCCTCCACCACGATGCCTGTGCGGAAGTTGAGCACCAGATCCAGCAGGAAGAAAGTGTCAGACAGCACGTTGAAGACGATCCAGGGAGGGGAGTTCTCCTCCTTGAAGAAGGTAATGCCTACGGGCAGTACGATGAGGTTTCCCACCATCAGCAGCAGCATGATCAGGTCCCAGTAAAACCTAAAGTGGGAGTGGGATGGGGAGTAAGGCCATGATGCTATTTCTCCAGCCATCAGATGGACAGAAGACAGTCTGGTATGGCCAAGAACGGGCAAGGATACAGACCAATGGAATGACCTCTTACAGCTGGTGGGAGCATAAACTGGGACCACCGTTTGGGAAAATAGTTTAGCAAAGTTAGACATTTGCATTCCCTGCAACCCAGCAGTTCTGTTCCTAACATACTTAGGAATGGAACATGCCAACATACCCAGGGAAACCTGTGCTCCAGGAGATATTTACAGGAGTGTTTAGAGTGGCATTAAATTTGGGAACAACCCAAATGTCCATCCATAGAAAAATGTCGATAAATAAGCGAAGTAGGTAAATATACTGTGATATCTTTATGGCCTGGAATACTATACAGCTATACAGCACTATGCATACTATACAGGAACTCACCCAACTACAGGTATATTTAGCAGTGTGGATGGATCCCACAAGTTCAATGTTGAGCAAAAGAAGCAAGAAACATAAGGATACATTTAGATGATTTCACTTATACAAAGCTCAAAAGCAGGCAAAACTGAAATACATTGTTTCAGGATTCATACAAAAGTCATGAAACAATCTTAAAGAGTATAGAGATGAATACCATGAAAGTTAGCACAGTGAGTTTGGAAAGAAATGTGAGAACCCTAGGCGGGGGCTTCTATAGTAATAGGAATGTAGGATCTCTTGACCCAGAGAGTTGTTAAGTCTGTTTTAGAATTACTCTGCATGCATATCCATCCTACTATATATGCTCTCTCTCACCATTACTAAATATTTTAGAAGTTGTAAAAAAAAAAAAAAAGCTGAAGTACCCTGTGCTATCTCACAGGGTTGTTGAAAACATTTACACCGAGACAATAGAGGTGACAGTGTGCCGTACAAGCACTACTTGGTGCTGTGACTCACCCACCCTTTATCCCCAGATTTCCAAAAGGTTGCTGCTTCTCCCATCTCCAGCCCTCCATCCATTCCAGGCTAGGACCTGATGCCCTCCCCAGCCTTCCTTACCTAATTTCTCCTCCCCATCATAGTTGGGCCCAGGGCTCTTTTTCCTCTGCTGGGATGGGCTCATCCATGTCCCAGGGTGGAGTGGTCTATCCTGCCTCCCTCTGAACTGAGCTCTCCAGGGATGCCCCGCCCCCACCCAGCATTGCAGACAAGGCTGCACATACAGAGAAGCTCCACCGGAGATCATGAGGCAGCAAGGCTTGAGCTCTGCACGCCTCTCCTCCTCTGCCCTCCCTGTGCCCAATGGGACTCTGGCTGAGCCCAGGCAAGGGCACGGGCAGGGGAGAGCTACACTGCTGTGGCAGACGTTGTGGAAAGAAGAGGTCAGAAAGGAACTAGTGGGAAGCCCTCATTCAGAGAACATCACAGGATAATCTCAGTGACTCAATTACCCATGGTGGTTTTAATTCTAGGACACACCTAATCCCAGCATCAACACAGGACCCAGCCCCTTCTGACTCTGAGGGCAAAATCAGTTTTTTCAGCCCTTGAAAGAAGCTTAGTGGTTCTCAAGAGACCGCCGAGAAGCCCCTCAGACTGTGCGCTTTCGATCAACAACAAACCCTCGACCCCCTCTTCTTTTTTCTCCTGGGCTGCTGAAGAGAATACTGTACAGTGAGATACTGGCAGAGAGGAGGGAAAGAGGGTTTGCCTAGTCCTAAGAGCATCTTCACAGCCTGACTCACAGGCGGTCACAAGCCCAGTGGGTGATGAAGCAGAGAGAACGGAGAAGAAGCACAATTACAAAGAGGATACTGGCTTCTGGGGATACATCTGAGGGTGAACTGGGGGAGGGGAAGGAGAGTAGAAATGTGCACCGGTTGGGTGGGAATGAGGCAGTAAGAAAGACAGGAATGGCAGGAACAATGGAAGAGAGACCTTTAGGGAGTGTGTATGTCTGTGGATTCAAGATAATGTCTGGGGCTCCAACTGTGGTTCCAGGCTCCAGATTCACACCTCATCCTCTCCGCTTCTTTCATGCCCCAGGTTAGGTGCTTTGCACACATCCCTGCCTCGTCCAAAAGCTGTCCTTCATCTCCCCCAAGGACAGGGCTGCTCTCCTCCCCTAGCGACCTTGATGAAGAGGTACAGCCTGATGGGGACGGTGAAATGGCCCCTCCCCCATCCTCTGTCTCTTCTCGGTGGGAGTCACCTGGGCGGTGGTCGTGCCCCTGTTCCTGTGCCTCAATCGCACTTTGTCCCGGCCCTGCCCCGCCGCACCAGTCTTCAGCACTAGGGACAGCGACCAGAGCCGAGGTCTGAGTCCCCCCAACCCCCACCAGCGTCCCTATCTTTCCCAGTAGCCTGTCCTGCTGAACTAGGCAGGTGCGGGGAGTGGGGGTGGGGGTCAGGGAGACAGCGGAGCTCGGCTGACCCCGCGTCTGGGGATATGATATCATTCCCCAGACCTCCAGCAAGCAGGACTGGAGGAGACAGGGGTCCCAAACTCCGGCAGTCCCTGTGGTCCAGATGGGGGGCCGGGTTCTTGAAATGGGAAATCCCTGATGTCTGCTTGCCCCTTGCGGCGCCCCCAGCCTGACGAGTCACGGAGGACCTCCGGTCGGGGATACCCCGCCCAGGAATTCCCAGGCTAGGTTGGGGGAGGTGACTCTCCCTCCCCACCAGGGGACCCCTGGGCCGGAAATGAAGTGACCGTGGAGGGTGGGGCGAGCCCGATCGCCGTGTCGCCGCCCGCGAGGGTGGGATTGGTGTCCCCCGCCCTCCCAGCCGGGCCCCCAATACCGGAAGTCGCTGTAGGGGTGGATGATCCAGGCCCCCGCTGACTTCACCCGCTCCTGCTCGATTTCCACTGCCTTGTGGCTGCCGAACACCCGAAGGGAGAACTTGTTGACCGTGGGCTGGAGCAGCGTTCCCAGCTGCCTCCTCTTAGGCTCAGGCCCG